TGTATGCATACACACACACACACACACACACACACACACACACATATATATATATATATATATATATATATATATATATATATATATATATATATATATATATATATATATATATATATTCCAGAAGAAGGGAGGGGCTATAGGCTGTGCAGTCATTTTAGTTTCTATTCATTTTAACAAATGTACCAGAAAGCTACTCACCCACTAAGCTTAGTGCCGGCTTTGAACAAGAGACTTTTGGAGCCTTATTCTCTCCAGCTTAGGCCCCCTGCATTTCATCTGCCAAATCTATGACCTGCCTCCAAGAATCCCTACCCAGTGCTTCCCAAACCTCCAACCTCCCATTCCTGATCTGCCTCCCTCTGGTCTTAGGGCCACTGCTTCCTTGCTACTGTTTCTACTTGTCTATAAGCCTAGCCATCTGCCAGAAAGCTTTCAAGGCAACTACACATCCTTTCTAGTCAAAGCTTGGGGTGAGAATGGTGACCATACTATTGGCCTTAATCTTCTCTCCCTTTTCTGTCTCTTAGGTTTCGCATCTTTTTGTTTCCTCCTCCCTTTAACAGTTCTCTTGAATACCCTATATCACATAACAAAACATGTTTCCAGATCCTCCAAGTGCTATCTTAGCACTTTAGCTTCATGTCTTACATTAAACTTTGATATCATGGAAAAGAAAAGAAAGAAGCACTGTGGTGGGGAAGACCATGTCCAAGACTAAGATTTCAGATGCTAATCCTTCCATAGACCCTTAGTATCAAATGCAGCAATAAGTAATTACAAACATTTCTATTTGGCTCAGAGACTCTGTACACCAAAAGGAAGTCGTATGACATGGTACAGTGATCATTTTTATTAGATCTAAATTTCAGAATGGGCCCATGGCCTCTACTGATCACATTTCAGCCATGGGAAGTATAAGTAGCTATGGCTTTAGAGTGAGGTAGAGTCCCCTTTCTTTTCCATAAACCCATTCCCTTCCACTGCTGTGCTGCCACTGTGGAGGAGTACAGGTAGTACACATTGTTGGAAGGGTAATTCCCGGCAATGAACCACTGCCAAAAGAAATTGGGCTTGCATGTGAAATGCTGTATACACAGCATTACAAGAAAACAGCCTGCCTCTGTGGGCTATGATAACATTGAATCTCTCCCCTCCCACCTTCACCCTACCCACCCAAACTTTGTTTTGTTGATTGCCTAAGTGAGCATGAGAAAGGAAGGCAGAGTAGGAAGAGCCTCAGGACGGGAAAGAATAACAAGACTTTGGAAAGCAATGTTCTCTCCAGCAAAAATGGATAGCTTTCTGTGGCTGCCTTCTGTTCTCTCTACTCCTGAGCACACTGATATCAGTGAGGCAATTTGTGTTTCTTGACAGTTTTTCAGATATTGTTCTTTTTCCATGATCCAAAGTCATTCTAGACCTCATGCTAGTCCCTTAACCCTCCCGGGCCTTAGTTTATTCTTTAAAATGAGGGGGTTGGACTAAATTGTGTCTGAGTTCTCTTCCTCTAATTATTTTCTATGACCCCATAGATCATCCCAGATATTCAGTGGAGACATAACTAAAGGGGTAACAGACTGTGACTTTAAGTAGGGAATAATAGAAAGGGAAGAGTAGGGTCTTTCATCTTTTGACATCTTTTTTTCCCCATTTGATGCAATTAATTTTAAAATGTACTTCGACCTTTAAGAAATTTCTTCCACTCACTCTTAAGTGATTTTAAGAATTTTTAATACATCTTTTATATGGGCAAAAAAACTTTTATTGATAAAAATTACAGTGTATTTGAGTTGAAAGGGACCTTGGAGGTCATGTAGTCCAATCCCCTCATTTTTTTATGTTTTCAAGTAGTTTATTTTGCTAGAGTCGTGGTTTTTTTTTTCTTTTCTTTTCTTTTCTTTTTTTTTTTTGGTTGGGCAATGGGGTTAAATGACTTGCCCAAGGTCACACAGATAAGTAAGTGTTATGTGTCTGAGGCCAGATTTGAACTCAAGTCCTCCTGAATCCAGGGCTGGTGCTCTATCCATTTCACCAACTAGCTGTCCCCATTTTTTTATGTTTTAAATTTTTTGTAAATGTTTTATTCATTTTAAACTTAAACATAAAACGAGAAAAAAGAACATTTCTACATACACAGCAGAACATAATAGAGGATTCAATATAGAACAATAAATTTCCATTTCAAGAAAACCTATATAATAAATACTATACGTTGTTTTCAAAGCTACCCAGTTTTTCTTTGCTTCCTTATAGGTTTTCTTCTGTTCTCTGCTGTACACTTTTTCCTTTATTTCCCCACCCCAATCACCGCTCTAAAGAAGGTTATAATTAAATGCAGATATATACATAGATATCTGTAAACATAAACATATATATATACACATATACTCATACACATATATGTAAAACCATACTGTGCATATTTCCACTTGTCATCTCTTTCTCTGGAGGTGGATAGTATCTTTCTTCAAAAGTCCAAGTCTTTCCATATTTTTCTAAATCAACCAGCTCATTGTTTCCTACATCACAGCAGTATTCCAACACAATCACATCCTATCTGAGAGATTGTCTATGATAGGTTTTCCCCAATTTTCTGCATTCCTTCTATTTTTGGCTACATTGGTTTTATTTGTCAAAAGAATTTTTCATTTAAAATAATAGAAAATTATCCATTTTACACTTCAGCAATGTTTTCACCTTATAATATAGTTTAAGGTCTGATAATGCTGGATCTCCTTCCTTTACATCTTTATCCCCTCACTTTACAATGAGAAAACTGAATCCTAGAGAATGGAAGAGATCTATCCAAGGTCACAAGGAGTCACTGGAACTCAGGTCTCTTGGTTTCTAGTCCATAGTTTTCCAGAGTATCTAGAGTATTTGTCAAATCCTTAAATAGCAAAAACAAATCTAGACATTATAAAAATTCATTAAGAAGAAGGGGGAAAGAGTCAAATGGGAAAAACCATTATCCTTCTGCCACAGAACCAGATTTTGAACCAACTGTTCTCATGTGAGGTCATATGTCATATGTCATAGGCAAAAGGAAGCCTAAGTTGGTTAGGAGCCAGGAGGTTAAATTCCTATCTCAGCTCTGTTACCAGGCAGCTCTTGGACCTTGGGCATATCACTTGCATGGTTTGGTTTCTTCTTCTGTAAAATGGAGATAAGCATACTTTACCTCACTGGAAAGTTATGGGGGATAGAATTTTAGAGCTCAAAGGGACCTTAGAAACTGTCTTGTCTAATTCCCTAATTTATATTTAAAGAGTAGAATGTAGAAAAATGCTATAAATGGCATTATTATTACCCACCAAATCCCAGTATAGTCCCAAGGACAATCCACATTCATTTTCTGTATGGGAATTATGCTGTGTCAAATATTGCTTGAATGAGCAGTCAGTTATCTCCCTCACTTAGAAATCCTATGGTTACAGAACATAAGCCATTACATCAAACATTTCTAGAATAGGATTTTACCTATTCAGGCTGCCCCAAAAATCTTAGGTTTTCTAAATGCACTGAGATTTTTGGAATACCCTGTGTTATTCTAGGAAGCTAATATGTGACATCTGGTTCTTCTTGCCCTTCAAAGGAAATTCTAATTTGCAGCTTTTCACAGACTTCTCATTTCTAAAACCAACCTGCCAACCTTCTGATGCACAGCCTCTAGGGCTTGAGGGGAATCAACAGAGGAACCACAATATTATCATATACATAACCATTCTTGTCCTTGGAAATCTGGAAGGTCTGTGTGACATTGTAAAAGTTACATCCTCTCTCAACTTCAGTTTTTTCACATGCAGAATTAAGGATTTGAACTAGGTTGTGCCTAATGATTTTTTAATATATATACTGTGCTAGATTCCAATAGAATGTAAGCACCTTGAGAGCAGAGACAGATTCACTTTTATCTTTGGATCCCTGACATTTAAAACAATGCCTACCTACCATATAGTAGGTACTATATGAATACTTAGTGAACAAGTATTTATGAACAGTGATTTTGTGGACATTTAATTTCTTTATGGTTTAGATCCTATGGAGAAAGTGATTGGAGATTAGGAAGCGTGTTTCAAGTCTATAACAACAACCATTTAGTGATCATCTTCTATGCAGAGAACACTGCGATAGGCCCTGGATGAGACACAAAGTTTAAATAAAATTTACCCACTACCCCTGGAGAGCTTACCATCTGCATATATATATGTAACTTACCTAAAAAATTAATCTGCAATTGGCCAAAGTGTGGATCTGGTTTTGCTTGACTAGACTTATTTGTTACTAGGGAATGCATTAATTTTCAAAGAGGGGGATATTTTGGGGGCATGATGTTCCATATCAGGGAGGTTTCTAAGTTGTCATATATATTCCATAAAAGGTCAGTTCCTAACAGTAATGATATATTTTCTATAACAGGAGAATTCCTAAGCTAGAGAAATAATGTACCACTTACGTAACATGAGAGTAGAGGTGTGCAGGTTGGGAGAATAGTAATAATGAGAAAGAGAAAGAAACAAAGAAAAAAAGAGAAAGAGAAAGAAAGAAAAAAGAGAAAGAAAGAAAGATGAGAGGGAGGAAAAAAGGAAGGAAGGACATAAGGAAGAAAGGAAGGAAACAATGAAACAATTTTAAAATACCTAGAAAAGAGCCAAAGAAAGTTTAGGAAGAGGCACAAACTGACAGTATTATAATTACCATGCTAAAGTGATTATATACTTCCTGTAAAATAAGCTACACATAATATTCACAGTTTCACATAAAACTCTTTTTATCTTCTTTGTATATGGAAATGACCATGTTTGTTGATGTTTGTCCAGTTCATAATGCACGTAATAGGGGACTGGCCAATGGGGGCTGAGTCCCAGGACCCTGTGCATTTAGTGTGCCTGCTTCTAAGAAGTACTTGATGGCATGGAGTGGAGGGACAGGCCCCTGCTCTCCACTTCAGAATGTATGTGCATGTATTCTATGACTGTTTCCTGTCTGATTTACAGATGACCAAGCCCAGTTAGAAGCAAAGCCCTGAGCAACCTGCTTGACCCAATGTAACAGGGAATCGAAGGCACCCAAGAGAGAGTGGCTTTACTTATCAAGTATGCTGCATTTGGAAGAAATGGACTTTTGACTAGTTGCTGAGACAGAAATGGAGGTATGTTCAAAAGGTACTAACTGACCAAAGCTTCTCTCTGTGTGAGTCTCTGTCTCTCTGTGTGTCTCTGCTCTGTCTCTGTGGGTGTAGGTGTCACACACACACACACACACACACACACACACACACACACACACACACACTCACTCCTGCCTGGTTATGTCCAAGAGAGGAGATAAGAATTCTTATAAATCTCAAGGTGGGTGAAGAAAGCTAACACCAAATGAAACTAGAAATCGTGACCTGCTATTGCTTCTGTCCCACTTGTCTTTATTCTTTCCTGCCCAACATGAAGGAGTATTGGAGTTGATCATTAGGCTGTGATCTTATGAGCTTCAGAAAGTCAGAAGAGTGAGTCATCAGAACTCAGAACTCCAGTGATAGGAGTTAACAGTAGAATTTGCAATGGCTGATCCCAGTTAGGAGCTAAACCCCAAGCAACCTGATTGACCAAGGCAGCAAAGAAGAATGGCATTTAGAAGTGAATTTGGTAATGTGAATGCTTTGAAGCAAACACTTGAAGTTTGAGCTCACTCTCCCCAGGAACCACAATGGTTTAGGGAAGACCTTGGCATTGATTCAGGCAGATGCTTTATACCTCTGTTCTTTCTATATCTTCTTATTAAATATCCCTTTGTAAAAACTAGTTGATGCTAATTGGGTGAATGATAGGAGCACTACTCACTCACTGGTAATAGATATTGGGGAGAACACACAACTAGAGCTGACTCCATTAATACACCTCCTCAAACCACTTAGGGTTATCTCTAGAAACTCAAGGGAAAGATGTAGTCTTGTTTTGGAACATGACTTGTCAGAAGTGGGAGTTGGGACAAAAATCCCCAGACTTTGTACAGGCTACATTAAAAAATAAAATTAGGAAAAAAAAGACAATGGATCTGTGATCTCATGAGTATACTCTTGTCACTGGTATAAATTAGAGCCCTTTACACCTTCTCTCATCCTGTGTCATTATTGTCCTTGTCTTCCTATAAGTGGTTCCTTAGAAGACAGGGCCAATGTACTAAAGGCCATTTTCTGGTTCTTTTAAAATCCTAAATGTCCCATGAAACCCAGATAACTATAGTACATGATAAATGAAAAATGCTATATCAGGTCTAAGGGGGAAAAGGCCATCACTATTACAAATAATAATAATAACTTTAAAGTTTGCAACTTTAAAGCACTTCACATTATGTGTGTGTATGTGTGTGTAAACAACCTCACAACAACCTTTACCAACTGTCAGGAATTAAGGAAATATTCCCCCCCAAAAAGTGATATTTGAATTTATTCTTACAGCACGGGTAGAAATTCAACACAAAGGCAGGGGGAGACATCCCAGGCATAGGGAATAGCATAAATACAGGCCTGACAGCAAGGAAATGGCGGTAGGGGTAGGGACAGGAGTTACGAATAGGGGATAAGTAATGCAGTTTGGCTGGAGTAGAGATGACATGGAGGGGAGTAGTCTGAAATAAGCTTGGGAAGGAACAGTACATCAGATTGTGGAGGGCATTCAATGCCATGCAAAGGGGTTTGAACTTCGACAGCCAACAGGAAGCCATTGAAGAAAACAAGATACAGTGGCTCAAGCAAATACTTCAACAAATGCACTTACAGTACACCTCGTGATGATTCTGTTGCTCTTCTTTCTTCCACCAGCCTATTTTTGGTGTCTGATATTTTCTTATTACACCTTTTCTGATGGTTCCCAATTAGCATTTTTAACAGTTTCACAGTATCCTTGGCTACCTCTAATTATCCAATTATTGGTGGCTTTTCAGAAATAACACTTAAATTATTGTTAGTAACTAATATACATCTGATATGGCTTCTTCACAAAGTTGATTTGGTAATACATACAGTACATAAAGTCATGTAATGCTCAAAATAATGACTGAGGCAGCTGGGTACTGTGGAAAGATTTAAAATCAGAAGACCTGAGTGCAAATCCCTGTTCTTCTACTTACTGCTTTGGACAAGTCATTTTCTTTCTTTCTGCTTCAGCTACTTTCTTTGTAAAATGAAGGGCCTGGAGCAGATGACCTCTGAGGCCCCTCCTGACTCTAAATCTATAACCCTATTATTGATACAGGAGTCCCCTGTCACATAGAATAGATGCATTCTAACAAATATGACATCAAAGTATACTTCAAACTTTGATTGCAAGTCAGCATTTGGTGTCAGTACAATCTCCCACTTTTATTTTAGTTAAACTGGGCTACAGGAATAAATGTTGCTTACTGCTTTGATACTACAAACGACTCAGATATCCGGTAAACATTACAACATTCTCAGTTGACAGTAAAAATGTCAAGTGACTCTAGGAACATCTAATCTTTAATATATTTATCAGATGCCCACAATGTGCTAAGCACAGGAGAGGCATGATCTTCCTCCAAAGGAACTCAACTAATAGGAAAATTATGCTTGTTGAGAGACCCTAAAGTGTCTTATGGTGCTGAGTGTGCTACATAGTCTCAGTGTCACTGGTCCAGGTCACAGGCAACTAAGAACAATAGTGTAGCCACGCTGGCTGGGTCAGTCATCGAAAATCTGGGTTGGGGGGCAGGGGAGCAAAAGATTAGAGACATAGTCCACACTTGTTCTTAGGGCCTGAGACAGTGCCTGAGAAATCTGCAAGACAGCTTTCAAGACTTAAGTCAACACATGCATAATCTATATCAAATTGCTTGCCTTCTTAATGAAGGGAGAGGGAAGGAGGAAAAGAATTTAGAACTCAATTTTTAAAAAAGGAATGTTGAAAATTGTTTTTACATGTAATTGGTGGAAAATAAGATATTAAATACAAAAAAAAAGTCAAAGACTATAGCAGAACTCTCTGGAGTCACCAGGAAGAGGTCTATAAGGTAGCTGCTCTAATAGTGACCAGAGGAATTCGGTTGCTTTTTTAGGTTGTAGCAGCTCAGGCCTACTTCTTCAGTCACTTCTTGCAGTCTCCATGCCACAGTCCCACTCCTCCACTACCTTTATCCCACTAGAAATTCATGTTTTTCTCTTGCCTTACCTTGCAGGGAACCAGATTCCCAAGACAATTCTTACAATATGGCCCCTTTCTCTAACCACCTCCACCCCACCAGAAACATGGGCTCTACCCTTGTTTCATCAACTCTAAGAGGTAAGCCTTTTGCCTTATCTTACTGGGGCCCTGATTTCCTCGTCATGCCTTGGGGGTTGGTGTAGTTTCTCCTACCTCATCCTCTCCTGTGTATGTGGTCTTACTCTGCTAAATATAAGTTCCTTGAGGGCAAGAACTGACTTGTTTTGCTATATTTGTATACCCATCATTTAGCACATAAGTTCTTAATAATGCTCTATAACTATTTATCTATTTACCTGCTTTGCCTTCTCTAGATAGGCTTTCAGAATTTAAAGGATCAATACTTTTTTTCTGATATATCTTCAAAAACACCATTTATCAAAGACTTAACTTGGAACATGTTATATGAGAGAAATAATCTAATGGTTATTCAGTCTTCTACGTTTTCTAAATTCTATCTCTGTATTAAGTTAGATTATGGGGAAGCAGCATACCTGAAGGATGTTATTTTAATGTCTCCATTCTTTCCTCTTCCTCATCTCTGCCACTGATTTAAGAGTTAATATTATGCCCTCAATTCCTAGAAGCCCAACTTATGAAATAACCATTTGAACAAATGTTTCTGTGTCTTCTGCAAAAAAGTATTGAATATTCTGTCCATTACATTACTCAATGTGCCTTATACAAATACCTACATGATATATTCTTTCTTTAATTCAATGCCAGAAAAAGTTTGTGTCTCAGATGAACTTGTATACTTTCTCTTATCAGAAATGTAATGTCACGTTTCCTTTTGTGCCCTGACAAGAAATTGAGAGCTAAATTCCATGGTCACTTGTAAGAAGAAATCACACTTGTAGAGTACTCTACAGTATACAAAGTTCTTACCTCATGCTAATTCTATGAGTTAGATGGTACAAGTATTATTATCTCCATTTTACAGATGAGAATCGTGAGGCCCAGGGAAGTTGTGACTTACTCAAGGTGACTCAGGCAGATATCAAAGTCAGTAATTGAGCCAAGGCATTCTGACTCGTAGTCCAGGGCTTTTCCAACTCTGTACAATGCTTCCTCTGGTAATGGTCTATATCAAAGTTGTCAAAAAACATGGCAATATCTCAAGCATGGCTCAAAAATATTTAATAAGACAAATAAAAGTATGATAAAATATAGGTAATGTTAACACGTGGTTTTCTAACTCAGTATGGGCCTTCAGGAATCCATATATACAGTTTAGTGGACCATGTTTGGCTTTGAGCCTGACACTACTGGCCCACAGCAGCACTGGGAGCTACAATATCGCTGGAAGATAATCTGGTGCAACCCCTCATTTTTTTACAGATGAAGTTAAATAACTTGCCCAAGGTCACACAGTTAGTAAATAGGAGAGACAGGATTAGAACTTTGAAATGAGATACTCTAACTCCAAATCCATTTCTCTTTCAATAGTACCACACTACCTCTCTCTCCCTACGTGTCCACTAGAGAGGCAGTCAGATGGAAGACCTGAGGTCAAATTCAACCTCAGACACTTGCTAGCTGTGTGACCCTGGACAAGTCATGGAGCCTCAGTTTGCCTCAATTTCCTTATCTGTAAAATGGGGATAACAAGCACCTACCTCCCAAAGCTGCAGATAGATGAAGGAAGGAAGGAAGGAAGGAAGGAAGAAGGAAGGAAGGAAGGAAGGAAGGAAGGAGGTAGGAAGAAAGGACAATACTTGCTCTCAAAGAGTTTATACTCTGTCAAGGGAGACAACATGTCCCTAAATAAATATAAATAAAATAAAAGCAAGATAGTTTAAGGAAGAAGACTACTAGCATTTATAAGGAGTCAGGAATAGTTTCATGTAAAAGGTAATGCTTGAGTTGAATCTTGAAGTAAGTAAGGTATTCTATGAGAACAAGGTGAAGAGGGAGAGTATTAGAGACACAGAAGACAACCAGAGTGAAGGCCCAGAGATGGGAGGAGCATCAAATGTGAGAAACAGCCTTTGAGAAGGCCAGCTTGGCTAGACTGTAGCTTTACTAAATTCCCACTAGATCATCTTTTAAACACACAAAGAAGAGGCAACATTAAGCCTTGAGTTTTCACATAGACCCATAATGCAGGAGCCACAGATTCTGGCTCCTCCTTGGAATTGCTGTGGTTGGATAGCTTATTTGGCGCTAATGAGGCCCAAAGCCATAGATAGGTTTGATCTCCATATGGGGCAGTTGGCTTTGCTCTGTTCTATGACTACAGGCTGAAGTCCTGAGCCCTGCCAGCTGTCTCACAAATGCCTGCCATGGGCTCACAAATGGAAACAGAGTGAGAGCGTGGAGACAAAGCATTACCAGGGGGAAAAGAAAGACTGAGAGAGAGAGAGAGACAGGAGGTCTCATTGGTGGTCAGAGCCATCTTCATGTCCAAATGAAAGAAAGCACATCATTTGTTGCGTGATATTAAGGGAAGCTTGATTTCTCTGGGTTTCATATGGCCAGAGGAAAAAGAAAGAAAAGCTACCTCTTAGACACAGTACTTCAGGCTGAGAAAATTTTAAACTATGTCTGAGTCTTCCACTTCCTTAACTGCTTTCCCTTCAGTTTGTGAGAATGTTTCTCTTCTCTCCTCACCTCTCTCCCTATGACTGATGTGTCCAACCCACTCCTTAGATAGGGTTAATTGTTCTACAGAAGCCTTTCATCCTCCACGTTTCACTTGCTCACCCTTTTGCAATCTGTTTGTTTCCATGTTGAGCTAGAAAGCTGATGCTGCGCAGAGACTTCCCCTGCCCCCTCCTCCCACCACAACTTCACTTGCAGGAAACATGTCATGTCTTAGCACACCAGGGGATCACCAGTGACCTGCTGGTGAGCGTGAGCCGGAGACCAAGCCGGAGCCATTCCTATGACAGCATGTGCCATTTTGCCTTAATAAAAATCACCAAAATGAAACCAGATGACAGCTGTGGTTGCTGAGATACTGCAAGAAGTAAACAGTCCCCTGCCTCTGCACAGTTGTTTTTTGGTTGTTGTTTTTTTCATTGTCAATTCATTTTTGTTGTTGTTTTCTTAGGTGAGTGCCTGTAGGTGAGTGTGTCCACGCATGCAGAAGGGCATGCATTTTAATGAGGATTGTGTGGGGCCGCTAGCGCCTCTCTGCTGTGCCTCGGATAGCAACCTCCAGAAAGAGCTCCCTGGGACACTGACCAGGCTTGATTAAATGGTGGGGGTGGTCTGTTCTGGAAGAATCCACTTCACAGAGGGGGCCTCCTTTGAAGATTTCTACTGTTGTCATCAGGGAGAAACATGAAAACCCAGTCTATTTCCCTGAGCCATGCTCAGTGGCTCAGTAGCTATGGTGATCTCTCATGTGAAGAATCCCTCTACCACCCCACCCCCACCACACACACACACACACACACAACACACACACACACACACACACACACACACACACACACTTTCTTCAACTGGTCACCTCAGTCAAGAAAATTTATATGACTGTTGTGGTCAGAGCAGAATACTGTATGTCAGGAGCTAAAAAAGGCATATCTCTTAAGAATCTTATGTCCAGGGATTCTGGGGAGGCAGAATCTAGAAGCATTGGAAACAAGGGAAAACCAAAAGCCTTCTTCAGAAGAAGAGATCAAGAGAAGAAAAACTATGCTAGGTCACTGAGTACATCATGAGACATAATCACTACTAATTGTTGTTGCTTAACTATTTTTCTTAGTTGTAATTGAGGGTTCAATAGCAGGGGAGGGAGTGCTATCAACCAATCAACCAGTGAGCATTTATTAAGCATCAGCTATTTGCCAGGTACTGGGCTAGGTGGTGGAGATCCAAAAACAGAAATGAAACCACCCCTCTCCTTAAGGAGCTTACAGTCTATTGAGGGAGACAGCATGAACACACGTAAGAAAATGTGTACAGAGAAAATATAAGGCAATGGGATAAGGGGGGAGCAGATCAAGAAAGGACTCATTTAAGAAGTGGGGCTTAGGATAGAGCACCAGCCCAGAAGTCAGGAGGACCTGATTTCAAATAAGGCCTCAGAGCAGACACTTGACTCTTACTAGCTGTGTGACCTTGGGCAAGTCACTTACCTCTAATTGCCTTTTTTAAAGAAAGTGAGACTTGAAATGAGCTTGGGAGGAATTTCAAGATTCTAAGAGATAGAGGTGAGGGGAAGCACATCCAGAAATGCCTGAAACTTTAAAAAAAAGGCATTCACAAAAAAAAAAAAATTAAAGTTATGTTAATGAGGAATAAGAAAAAGAAAAAAAAAACTAGAAAAAAGCAAGGCCTCCTAGAAAAGGTGAGTCTTGAACCAGGTTCGGAAGTTATCTTTGACTACTCTCTCTCTCTTCCATCAATCAATCAACAAGCATGTATTTAGTACTCACTCTGTGCCAGGCATTGTGCTAGTCCTATATCCAATGATAAGGTTCTGCTGCCTCTCCCTTCAAAATGTCTCTCTTGTATTGCTTTCCCACTGTCACCACAGGCACCCTTGATCTGGGCCCTCACGACTTGACTATAGGACTTCTGCAATTGACTGTAAACTGGTTTTCAGGATTCCTGTCTCTCTCTAATTCTCATCAATCCTGCATTCTGCTTCCAGAGCAATTATTCTAAAGTGCAGTAACCATCATGTCGATCAACTACTCAAGAAACTTGTTGCTTATTGGTAGAGCCAGCTCTAGGGTACTAAGGCAAGATGACTGCCTTAAGGCCTATTTATCTCAAGAAACCTCTTCCTTGAACACTAACTTGAGAAGTACCTGCTAGGAAAAGAGGAAGAGGTCACTCCAAGTGAGCTAAGAAACGCCTGGGGCTCATAACCTCTCAGTCCATAATCACCAAAGACTCTTCCTTCAGGATTGATCTCAGTGGACATCTCGAGGATGCCTTTTCTGACCCCCTCAGTTGCTAGCGACCCTCCCCCCAATTATTTTTTAGTTACTTCGTATATCTTATGCATTTACCTACCAGTGTTCTGTTGTTTTAGTTCCTGGCACACAGTAAACACTTAATAAATGCTTATTGACTGGCTTGTTTCTGCTTGATAAAATCTAAAGACCTTGAGGGCAGACTGCTTAGTTTTTGTGTTTATATCTAGAATACCAAGAATGGAGCCTGGCACATAATATTAGACTTGTAATAAATGCATGAATGAATGAATGAATGAATGAATGAACCACTTTTTACATATAGCCCTTCAGTTGCCTTGTCCATTTTATCTCTTTATTTCCCTATTTGCCCCCTAAAATGGGAATTCTTGTTGTGGTCTGTGAACTTTATAAAAAAATTGATAATTGTATTTCATATAACTGGTTTCCTCTATCATCTTGCATATTTTATTTTATGCATTTAAGAGCTTTATTCTGAGAAGGGATCCATAACACACACACAAATTAAGAACTTCCATCTTAAAGGCTGCTTTTGATATTCATTTTAACATAATTTCACCTGATTAAAAAGATTGAGGGAGAGAAGAAAAGAGTCTTGTCTATACTTTCCAAGCTCTTCAGGCCTCATAATCTTGTTCCCCCTTACTTCTTCCAATATTATCTTCTACTGTTTACTAAAAGATACTATCCTTACTTAGGCCAAGCTCTTTATTTATCCACTATCCCTTTTCTGTTCAATGGAAAGTATGTTTTCATTTCCTCCATGAATATCCAAATCTTACTCCTTCTTCAAAGCTCAATTTAAAATCCATGATATCTACCTCTAAAAGGAAAGGAAGAAGCTGAATTTTCACCTCTCTTTTTGAAGCCACACTTATTCATTATAAATTACACAGAATTCAGTTTCAATTTGCTGTTGTTCTTTCCATTTACATTGAAGTCATTGTATATGTCATTTTCCTGGTTCTGATTATTTCATTTTGCATGAATTCATGTCTCCCTATGTCTCCTTGCATTCTTCATGTTCAACATCTCTTACAATGAAGTAATATTTCAACACATTCATATAACACAATTTATTTAATCATTCACCAAATGATAAACATCTAATTTGTGCTACTATAAAAATGGACTGCTATATATGTTGGTGTATAACTCTGTTGGTGTATATTAGACCTTTCTTTCTAACTTTGACCTCGTTAGTATGGAGGTATCTACCTTACTGGGTTCTCTGGGTCAAACATGGATATTTCTATTACTGTCTTATAATATAGCTATTTTAATCACTTTCTTAGCATAATGCCAACGTTCTTCCCAGAATGGACCAGTTGGACTAATTCACATTTTCATCATTAGTATATTAGTGTACTTGCACAACCTCTGCATCATTAACTATTTCCATCTTTTGTCATCCATGCTAATTTGCTGGGTTTGAAGCGAAACCTCAAGGATGTTTTGATTTGCTTTTCTCTTATTAGCTATTTGGAATAACTTTCATATGGCTGTTAAAAGTTGCAATTCTTCTTTTGAGAATTGTTTGTTCATATCCTTTGACCACTTAACCACTGGAAAACAATGTGATTTGATCATGTCACTCCCCTACTCAATAAACTCCAATGGTTTTTTAGACCCTCTAGGATCAAGTACAAATCCCTCTGTCTGGCATTTGAAGTCATTCAAAATCTGGCCCCCCCTACCTTTCCAGCCTTCTTATACATAATTACCTTTCATGAATTCTCTGCTCCAGCCAAACTGTCCTTCTTAATGGAACACTTAATCTCCTACGTCCAAGTTTTTGAGGTGCCGGTCCCCCGTGCCTGGAGTACACCCCCTCCTTATTTCCACCTCTTGGAATTCCCATGTTTCCTTCAAGACTTAGCTGAAGAAAGGCCTTCTCCATGAGGCTTTTTTAGGTCTCCTCAGCTACCAGCACTCATAACCATGTAATTTATAAAGTATATTATTTATATGTGTGTGTGTGTGCATGTGTGTGTGTGTGTGTGTGTGTGTGTGTGTGTACTTATTGTCTTATACATATAGAATTAAAAGTCCTTGAGGGAGTGTTTCATTTCTGTCTTTATATCACACCCAAAACAGTAACTGTAACATAGTGAGTACTTAATAAATACTTTTGATTATCTCAAACGGTTGTGATCAAATCAAAGGGTCAAATTAGATTATGTAATTATTAAAATGCTTTTGTGGTATAGTCATTTAAAGTCTGTAATTACAATATAGAAATCAGTTACTGTTATTATTATTATTGTTGTCATACCTTGCACAGCTATGGACAATAGTTTTGTTTTATTTTTAAGGAAATAATAAATTAGAAACTTATCTAAGAACTGTCATCTCTAGCTCAATCTCAAATTAGAAATTGAGAGGATTGATTCTTCATCAGGAAAAAGTTAGCTCTTCTTCCCGTTCCACTTCTAGATGGGCCTACTTTGCACTTTTCTTCTCGTCCTGTAGCTAGCTAGCCACCCTCCCTTCCTTGCTACAAACTTTGGAGAACCCTTTGACTGCTTGATATATCAGATCCCTATACAGCTAGTCTTCTAGCAACTCAGACTAATTTATTATAGTCTCAGGTTTTCAGATGAATTTTAAGATTTTATAATCTCAACTAGTGAAATTTGGACTAAAATCCTCTGATTCCCACATAAAATTGCACTCTACTATACTACATGGCATCTTCCAAATAAGGATATAAATTGCTTGAAGGTAGGGATCATAACTTGTACTTCATTCTGTATCCCCTATAGCATAATACCAGGAACATAATAGTTATCAAATAAATATTGACTAAATTGAATTGGAGGTAAGAGAAATGTATTGGTAAAATTAAGAGAGAAGATGATATAGTCAAAGGGTATTGCACCTAAAAAAAGAATGAGTTTTGTGGTAGATTAGTCAAGTAGCATAGGAAAAGTAATAATAGCAATAAATGAAAAACATCTGCCATTTATATTATGTTTTGAGGTTTTCAAAGAACTTTATACGCACTATCTTTTTGGAGATAAAGCAGGGAGATCATTTTGGAAAATAGTAAGAGATGTTTAAAGAGTTGACCAATTGATGGAGGATCTTGGATGACAGAGAAAGATTTTATACCACAAGCAATGAGTCACCACAGATTCTTGAGCAAAGCAGTACAAATGATAAAGAATGACATTTGAAAAATATTTTTCTCTCAATGGTGTACAGAATGGATTAAAATAAGAGGACACTCAAAGCAAATGACCAAGAAATTGGTACTATATTCTAGTTCACAGAATCACAAAATTGAAGGAGACCTCAGCAGCAATTTAGACTAACTCGTATCCAGAAGGTATCCCTACAATAACATATCCAATAAGTGGTTATCCATCCTTTGCCTGAAGATCTCCACTGTGGGGTGTCCTACCACCTCTTGAGACAGTACATTCTACTTTTTGTTTTCGTTTAGTTGTTTCCAGTTGTGTCCAACTCTTCATGACCTCTTTTGAGGTTTTCTTGACAAAGATATTGGAGCAGTTTGCCATTTCCTTTTCCAGCTCATTTTACAGATGAGAAAATTGAGACAGACAGGGTTAAATAGCTTGCCCTGGGTCATACAGCTAGTAAGTATCTGAAGCTGGATTTGAACTCAGTTCTTCCTGACTCCAGGGCTGGTACTCTATCCACTGTGCCACTTATCTGCCCCATTCCACTTTTAGAAACCTCTAATTATCTGGAAGGTTTTTCCTGACATCAAGCTTAGTTCGCCCCTTTGTAACTTTTACCTGTTGATCTTAGATCGGCTATCTGGGGTCAAACAGAACAAATCTAATGCTTCCTCCATATATCAGCTCTTGAAATACTTGAAAATAATCATCATGTCTCCCCAAGTCTTTTCTTCTCCTGGTTAAACATCACTAGCTCCTTGAGCTGATTCTCACATGACAAGTTATGAGTCATCTTATCTAAGATAAATAAGAGAGTAAATTTTCAAATGCATTATGGATTTAGATTATTATAAAATGCATTGACCGTATCAGCTATACCTGATGTAACATTTGAATTGCTAAAATTCAGGGGTGATACAGAGAATATATTTGTGCTTGAGCATTCACAAAAGTCTACAATAGGACTCCTTCTAGGCCATTATTCCAACCTTCACTCAGATTGTGTCCCCCAGAGGGTAGCTGTTACCTCAGGTTCTAGGGGTAATCCTATAGCTCTGCATTTCTAACACTATAACTCATGAGCCCCTACTAGTGTGCTTCCTATTAATAATCACCCAATAGACAGTATAAACTCTTAGCAAAGTACCTACAAAACAAACTCTTACAAACTTGGGGCACACTTTCTCACTAATACACATAGTTTCAGCATCAGTGACTTGGCACAAACTTAGAGTACAGTATGTACGCATAAGACACATACACAGGGAACATATATGGCCAAAGGAATTTATAACTCTGATACTGTAGGGTCTCAAAGTCTTCTTTCTTTGGAAAGCTGTCTTTGCAACTCAATTATCAAATGGCAATGCTAATTCTCTCTTGAGTCATAATCAGTTTTCTTTTCTGATGCTGAGGGTCTAACTCCTGAAAGCTGCTTCCTCCCTTAAGAGACTGACTCTCTACTGCTGTTTGACTGGAGTATGATTCTCTGCTTCCTGCCACATGCACTGTCTCCTACTGTTCAATTAACTCACTTTCAAAGCCATATGTCTGATGAGAAGAGAGAGAAATTCCTACTTCCCCAGTACGCAGTGATGAATTTCCTTAGAAGCTGGATTCATTTTCTGCTTTCAGCTCCTAAATTATACTCTCTTAAACTCCTAAAAATCATCTAGGGTCTAGCTCTTTAAAGCACTACAAAGCTTTGTTTTTTCCAAGTGAGGTTTCTTCTTTAATTCTATCAGAGAAAAGTATATCCATGGTATAAATAAGGATCACTGGGTCTTAACACCTTGCTAACATTAACATCAAATTTCTTCTGGTATCTATTCAAGGACAAATAATAACAACAATTACTACATTTTGTGAGTACATCAACAATAGGGTGGGGTGGAGAATTAAATCCCTTCTACCTTATTTTGGAATTGCACATTTGTCAGCTTTGCATAGAGATTTGGTTAGACTTTTATTGGCATTTTTATTCCAAGTATAAGAG